AATGTTTAATTGATAAAAGGTATCCACTCAGATTTCTTTCAAAGGCAAAGGCAGTAAGGTTACCTTTTGTTAGGGGAGCATTCTCCCCCACACTCTTTTTTACAAAATTACTAGGTAACATTCCTGACCCAAACAGCATGGAAAGATGTTTACATTCTATCAGTTACTCATTAAACTCTGAGAGAAAACTTGTGTTCCCATCCTGGACGAAGCTGTCATGACTTCGCATACAAATACTACGGGCTTTCTGAGATGACACCCAAGCTGTCACAGCTGTCCTTCTTGACTTGAGGTTCCCAGCTGAGGTCTAGATGCACACTAGCCAATCTCGTAAGGAGTGTGGCTGGCCAACTAAATACTGCACCGAGACCCAGGCGGCAAGGTCGCTGTCAGGAGAAACCAGGAAGTTACAGGCACAGGGAGTCATGGCTGGCTGTGTGTAAGCGTAACCGAGGCTGGGACATGCTCACCTTTGGTATTGGAAACCGCAACTGGGCTATCTGGACTTCGCTGACAAGAGGAACAGTGATGCGATTGGGAAGCACCAGATAGTTTGATATTATATCCAAAATGATAGTGTCTGACAAACCACTGTTAGGTGGGAGGTAAAAGAACAAAGCAAAATCACACACAGCACATGGAGGCCAGTATCACAGACTGCAGCAGTGCACGTACCACGAACGTTACACCATAGCCCACTCACAGGGTCAGTTATCTGTTCTCCAACACCAATTTAAAACCAGTTCAATTTAAAACTGCGCTTAATTGTTCATCTGTGGTACTGCTATGGTGACTATTACGTAAGATTTATTCGGAGAACAGGAGATCATATTCTGGCTACATTCTGTAATGTCCTAAATAACATTTCATACATTCCTACGTTAATCATTGAATAACTGATATACATTTCATTAACTTTTTAACAAAATATTTCAAATATTCATAAAATTTCAGAGAATACTACAATCCCCATTTACTCATTCAATGTTTATTACAGTAAATTCTCTCTTGCTATATATATGCATCACTCTTAAAGAATTTACAGTTTATTCCCATTTCACACTTTATTTAGGAAATGCATACTGTAATAATTTTGAAATATTATATACCACTGCACAGAGAACTCAGAAATATTAATAAAACTGTGGAGGTTAAAGAAATGAATGCACTTTTAATACATTTTTGCCTCCTCTTTGGGATAAATGTAAGAATTAAGTGTGAATGCTTTTAACAGCATACATAAATGAGGCTTCGTTTCTACAGAGGAATACCTCTGGAAATGCTAAGTTTCAAAAATATTCATTTCTCAGACGTTAAAATTATTAACACACATATATAAAGTAACTACACAAGCAAAAGATCCACTGGGACAGAGTGAAAGTCACTGTCATTCAGTGGACACTGAAGCACACACTGCAAGCTGCGTGTCCAAGTTCAGTAAGACCTGGACCTCACCTACGGACCTGCAGCTCAACATGGAAAAGACTGAAAATATCCCAGAAGCCCATGGCAGCACTCCTCTTCCTGTGGACAGGTCAGTTAATTAGACAGCAACACCCCCAAGAGATAGTTTTCAGAGGATCTAAGACTGAAGGCAGCAGATATGACATAAATGCTTTTAAGAATCCCTTCGCCGCCCTGGTGGCTGGCCGAGCGCCTTGCCACCTGCCTTACCGCTGAGCAGACTCTGGCCCCTAGTCACCAGCGGAAGGCGCCCGCCACAGCTGGCCTTTCCACCCTCCAACGCTCCCAGCCTCCTCCAGCTGTCAGGGCTGTGGTGCCTCTCCTGGGCGCCTGCTGGAGCGTCACCATCCACCTGGCCACTCTGCCTGCCCTGTCTTGTCACCCAGGGATAGCCACCGCCCACCCAGTGTAAGCCTCTGTCCTTCGCAGCCGTCCCTGCTCGTCACCTTGCTTCTCATGTTCTCGCCCCTTCCTAAACCTTCAACACTCAGCTTAGGGCTCCTCGGGTTCCCATATGCAGTGAAAAAATATAGCACATAGTGCTCATTTTATAAAACCTGGCGAGACTCCATTACGTGAGGTTCAAAGTTACTGAATATTTACTTTTATGACGTAAGACTTGCCAAGCTGTGTTTTATTTACAGACAGTCTGAGTGAGAAATAGTAGCCTAAATTTTATGTATGTATGTACATACATAAAGCTTACACAATTACATATGTAGTCATATATATTTTAATGATATATATAATTCTATATGTAGAAGATAAACGTATATTTTGCACATTACATACATAAAAATGTTTATAAAACAATGGCTAGAATCTATGGCTATTTAAAAGAACCTGCCCTACACATAAAATCAGTACATCAAAAGGAGCTGCCTGTGCACATGTCGGCACGTACGCATCTCCGTGTGGACACGCATGCCTGTGTGCATGTCTCCCTGTTAAACGAAGACTCGGGACTGACTTTCCTGAGCTGCAGGCTCCTCAGGGCAGAGCACAGCCTCTGGCTCGCCCTCAAGGGAGTGAACACAGAGCTGTTTACAGAGAAGATGCTCAACGACCTGTTTATTTCAGCTCTCCATGACACTTAAGGGAGGAAAGGAGAACAAACACGTTTTTCTACACTAAATGACAAGGATTTTTCATTTCTGCAGGCTAAACAGCTCCCAGTCTCCCTACTTCTGGTGAAAAGCTCTTCCTTTTGGGGACACCACCACCCCTTGCTGGGGCTTTCTCAAGCATTTTTCTGCCTCCAGTGGACAAACAGAAGTCAGCACTGGAACTCTTTCTGGAACTAGTAAGAAAAGGTTCTTTTTTGACTGAGGCTGCTAAGCTTGCAGAATAGAAGCCAGAAGCTACCACTTCATAGCAAGAGCTGCCCCAAAACAAGGCCGCGCCGAGAAGGGCAGCATCTGGACGCAACACCTGGCTGTGCCTGAAGTCACCTGAAGTCACTCCAGGCCACTCGGTGGGACGGGAGCGCCACGGGAGTGGGAGCAGGCATGCCGTGCACTGTGCACAGCCGCATGCTGCACCGAGGTCAGGCTGGCCAGGAGCAGGCACTCAGAACACACTGTTCGAGGCAGGAACATCCTGTCTTTAAGAAAAGTACTTAATTACCCATTTACTTAGTTAAGACCACTGGAGTCCTAACGAACATTCTAACAAATATTTTTTTAAGTTATACTTTCTTCCCAAAGATCTTTTACAGATAACAGTATTTTCCTATATCCAGTAAACTACGGTACCTAAAAAAAAAAAGGTTTCATTATTATAACTATTAAAATCTTAATTTTTCCCTGATAATGAAACAAAATAAAATTTTAATGGTCATTTCAGGGGCATAAATATACAAGACTAGGAAAAAATAGACTAAACCCAAAGCTTTCAGAATTTCTAAGCTATTTTGGTGGAGGGGGGGCGGGGGGGGAAATCCACAGATAAGCCAAGTACCCATTAGAAACATATGTAACTTTAACCAATAAATAATGCATTTTAACCTTCAGATACAACAGTAAAACCAGCAAAACCAAGTTTCAACGCTATAATCTCAGAATTTCCCACTTGGTAGTTACTGTCCCTCCGCCAGGTAGGACAGATGGATTGTGACACAACCCAGAGGACGTCACTTCTCTCATAGCAGGGATGTGCCCTGATGGCTTCACAGGCTCACTGGAGACAACGACCTCGTGGCTGAGACCTGGTGGCTAGAGACAACGCAGGGGCCCCGCGGCGACAATGCGGGAACTTCGGCTTCTCGCCCCGCCACCACCCTCAGGCCCTGATGCCGGCTACCCTCCAAGGAGTGGCTGCAGCTTGAAAAGAACCCAGGAAGGGCTAGTTCTGAAAATATTCGCTTTTAAAGTTTTACTTTTCTCAAAAAATAATAAAAACTGAACTTAAAAATTAATTTGTAGGATGTGGAAAGGCTGCTACTATTCTAAAACACCAAAACTAAAAAGCTGCTTCCTGGTGAATGAAAAGCAAAAAGAGTGAGCGACTCGGTCCGAAGGCCCTAAGCCCTGACCCCTCTGCTTCTGCCGGTCTGGATGATCGCAGACATGGTTACGGGGAGCCCAGCGGCAGAGCCCAGCTGCAGCCTCTGTGCTGCAGTCTCAGATGAGAGCCTGCCGAGGAGGCGTAGAGTCTGCCTGCGGGAGACGGGCCTTGACGGCTGGGCCCTGCTCTCACAGCATGGTCGACACGCTAACAAGACACGAAGTGACACTTACTTCAGTCCAGGGATATCGAGAAGGTTGGTCAGGCCTGTCCAGTTAATTTCTAAAAGCTGTAAAAAAAAAAAAGGACAAAAATATTTCATATCCAAATTATTTCCAATTTCCAAATCAAATCATATAGGTTGTTTCTTTATAAAAATACTGTCCTGCAACTCATTTTGCACTCTAGAAAACATCGAGGCCATCATCCCTTGTTGGTGATATGAGAGCCGTCTGTTTTGTTTTGTGATGTCATAGTTTTCTCCAGTAAAATCATATAATAATTTATATACCCATTTTCCTACTAATGGGCACTTAGAATACTTATAACTTCTCTTTTAAGTGAAGATTCAGTGATTCTTTTTTTAATTTGTTTTTTATTAAATTTATTGGGGTGACATTGGTTACTATTTTATTACTTATTTTTTTAAACATTTTTTATTAAATAATGACTATTTTTTTTGTATACATGTTCTTGTACATATACACAAACTAGCATTCAAACAAAGTAGACGTTTTGGTCAAAGACACATGTTCATTTGTGTTGACAGTGACTACCTAATTACCCTAAAGAAATATTGCACCGATTTATATCCCTACCACAAGTGTACGAAAATGTCCTTTCTTTATACCCTCACCAAAAAGAGATATTAAAAATCTGGCAGTTAAAAAATGGTACTTTATCACTGTTTCAATTTGCATTTTCCTGATATGAGTGGGGCATGTTCCATCCATTCATTCAACCTTTGTATTTGTTTGCTCGTTTTTCTAGTGGGCATTTATCTTAGAATGATTCCCACATAGCTGGCTAAGATTCCAATAAGTGCATGTGGATGGGTAAAAACTACTGATCAGAAACACTGATTTTCCTATAAAAATGGATACTGCATATCACAAAATCACTTGTGCTTTGTGGTTTTATTTGTGGAAGAAATGCTAAGTAAAATTACATGATCTCAATTACCCAAATAGCTGGAGTAATGAATTCCAGCTCAAATCCCTCTGGGAAGTGGATGGTTATAAATACATGTGAACTAGAAGAGGCAAGGCTCTTTTGGAAAGACTAAAAAGCAATAATTTTTATAAGTCCTGAAAGACTAAAATTTTTCTTCATGGGAGAAAGGAGATACACATGCGCATGGCTCACAGCATGAACTCGTGCCACCCACCCCATAAAAGAGGAGGCCGAGAAGCAGTGACGAACGGAAGCACCACACTCCCCAGCACCCCATCGTCCCTGCAGGCATTTCCCCTACAATAAACCAGGGACCCTGAAAAAACAGCGGATTCCAGGCCTGGGCATCTTGCTGAATCAGAAAGCTTAAGGGAACACTCCCAAACTAATGAGAGGCGCTGTCTACAGACAGGTCACTCAAGATTATAAGTGACGGAAGGCCTACTCACATGACGCTTGTCAAAACGATGAAGTGCATTTAAATGGTACCCGAGTTCAGAGAAACAGAAAACCGGGGAGGAAGATGCAGGATTTTGAGAACAGAACTCAGCTGGGTTTGAGAAGAGATGTGAATGCAAGAAAGAAGGCTCCAGGCGAAGGGGCCCCATGTTCAAGGCTCCGAAGAGGGAGCTGACATGTCCCTGAGCACAGGGGAGGCTGGGGAAGAGAAGTGCCCAGAGTGGAGAGGGGAGAAGGGGCGGTGCGTGAGAGGGAGTGTGAGTGTGAGAATGAGTTATGGGAGGCTTGAAAGCTGAGTCTGGAAAGTCTGCACAGGGACACAGGGCGGAATGCGTGGGGAGGGACAAGCAACTAAAAAATGACGGCCCCCGTGCCCCCTGCGCCGGGATGACGAAGACGTCTGGGGACACTGAAGAGCCCGAGTCGTGTTTCCGAAGGCGTGACACCACCTCTCCGGGCTGCTCTTCCAGGAGAAACGGAACGAGTAACAGGTCACGCTTCACCCTGTACAGCACAGACACGGCCGTGGTCCTCATGCAGACCAGACGTGCCCTCACCTGCTTTTCCATATGTGTTGTCTGATGAACACAGTTAAAATTCACAGTTCAACAACAGCAACCGTTTATCTCAGCACTTACAAGACACCAGGCATCTTAAGTGCATTCGCCCTGCAGTACAAACTACGAATCACCTGGGAAGCTCGTTAAAAACAGACTGGCGGCTCCCACCCTTCCCCAGTGTTTCTGAATTAGTCGACATGGGCTGGTGGGAAAAGTCAAGAATGTTTTCCCTATGGTTTAAAGCTCCTGGGACTTCCAGCTTCCACTTGCGATGCAGAAAACTAGAAAAGCATCACTCTTGAATGCACAAGAGAGCTGCAGTGACAGGGCGGCCAGCCAGCCTGAAACCCTTCCTCAGAGGCGGCTCTGGGGAGGACGAAGCCACCAAAGGGGACGTCAGACGATTCTAGCTAGATCCTAAATGCTAAAGGCCAAGTGTGGGCGAGCCAGCAAAATCCTGTGGGATCCACAGACAAGGGCAGGGGCAGCCCACTTAGTGGGCCAAGCACTGTGTGCGCGCTGCAGGCTATGCAAAGACCGGGGACAGGGGACACTTCCTGCAGGGGTGCAGCTGGGAAAGGAGCAGCTGCTGCCGAAGGACACGAGACCCACCTTCCAAGATAAGGGACGGAAGCCACTGGGCAAGGGACACATAGGTCAAGGCTTGTTGCTGCTGGGGGACAGGAAAACAAGAGAAGACGCCCTGCACGCCTTGGGGAGGGCAGGACGTCCCCCCAGCCCTGCTACTTAGAGACTGTACTGCCGGATCAATATGCACAAACCCACCCGCACGAGACTCAAGGAAACCAAAGGCAGGAGGAGGGCACAGGGCATGGAAAGAGCGCCAGCTCCAAGTCCCCAGACGAGCCGGGATAACGCAGAGCGCCTGTCCTCACCACGGGTGCAGCGACCATCCAAACTAGTGAAAGCCATCAAACCACAGTGCCAAGAAACTCATAAAAGACCAGGCAGGATAAACACCCTCAAGTGGCTGCAGTGACTTAATATGAGGGGTGGGTCTGGGACCCTCCTCAGTCCGGGGGACCTGTTTGCCAGCCTGCCTCCTACGCAGTGCTGTCAAATGGCTTCTGGGAGCCTTATCGAAGCTCCTTCTGCAATCCACCCGCTCCCACGGGACTAGGGTTCTGCATATAACCCAGCTGGAACAGGGAAGGGAGGGGCGGAGGGAAAGCAAGGAGACTCGCTACCTCTTGGGGGCGCTGGCCGCCATGACTCTGGCATGTGGACTGGAGGACCCAAGGGAGCTGGCCTCAGCCAGAGAGAACAGAGCAAAGAGTAACAGGCATGGGAGAGACAGTCACGGTGCCTTTCAGGGTCTGTGTTCCAGGCTGTTCCTCATGCTCAACCGCAGCCCCTGTGTAGGTTTCATGAGACATCAATACATGCTATTTTTATTTTTAAATAAAGCCCTTCCTTTTTTCCTCCTTTGCTTAATGTACCAACTGCTGGACTCCTAGCTAAGAGGACTCAATTTCTTCTCACAATCACTCTAAAAAGAAGCTGTTCCATCTTACAGATGAAGAAACATCATCTGTGGCTCAGACTCGAGAAGCATGTCCTCTGCAGCTGGGAGCATCCCCTTCGCATAAACCCATGCAGAGCAAGTCCAACCGCCTCCCGGAGAAGTTCTGAAGACCTCCCAGGCACGCTCTGGCCTAACTGGTACTCTTGGAACAGGTGTAGAAAGACCTGAGGATCCTGAAACACCCCTAAGACTATACCCCAGGGTGACCCCAACAGCTCTCCAAGGGGCATGAGGGGCACGTCCAAGGGTAGACACTGACTCTGACCAGAACTTTCGCCAAGCTTTTGTGCTTACCAAAATTTGACCTCTGGTCTCAGGACACCACCAGAACGCTAAACTTACATACAGGAAAATATTTAACTTCTTAAAAATCTGAGGACTTGTACGTGCCAGGCATTGTCTTAAGTGTTTTACATCCATTGACACTGTATATTCACATCTGATCTCGTGAGGTAGGTATTACTGGAATCCCAAAGTTACAGATGGGGAAACAGGTTTACAGAAATTAAGTCAGTTGCTCAGAGACACAGTAAGAAGAGAAAAGACTCAGGACTGGAATACCAGGCTGCACGGAGGCCAAGTGGGTCACGTAACCACCACGCTAAGCTGCCCTCCACTGCGGTCCAGAAGTCCCTCCCTTCAGAATCCTTTTGTTTCCTTTTTTTAAAAGGTGGCACATCATTGAAACTCATCTAAAAAATCAACAAGCAGAAAAATGTGTAAAGGTTTCATAGGAGTCTCTCACACTGTGCTTCTAAATCATCTGGATAGTCAAAAAAAAAAAAAACCCAAAACCCAACAAATCTCTCTAGCTGTATTTTTCACTAGGGTGAGAAGAATTACTTGGCAGCCAGCAGTGAATTCTGTTCTCATATTTTCCAGTTGAAAGTAACTGAAAAAAATTCCCTGCTCTCCGAAGCATACGTTTGGTGACTTTACTCACCATTTAAGGAAATAAATGATTTTTAACTTTTCACGGCTTCATCCTTCTTTTCTGACCACTAAAACTTAATTGGAAGTTAATATTATGATGTTATTTTTAAGGTAAACATACCTATGGAAGATCCACACTAAGTTCTGAGGAATAAAGATTTGGATTTTATTACATTCCAAATGGAAAAAGAGCCTCTCTTTAAATTGTTAAAAATTCCCTGTAAAGTAAAAATACTTAGCAATTTGCTGAAGATTATTTTTTATACTCGTTAATGAAGGAAGTCTCTCTTAAACATACTGGCTTTAAACAACTTGTACGTGGAGAAAAAAACATGGATTTAAAATCTTTTATGAATCATTTCTCAAATTTTTAATAAATTAAAATTTAACACAGAGGCCCTTAACAGCTTGCGAATTTTACCATGTTTGTGTACAGTTGTCTCCCAGTCTGAGGGCGATAAGCTCCAAGACCCCCACCCAGTGGATGCCCAAAACCATGGCCAGCACCGAACCCTACCTACGCTGTATTTTTTCCTACACACGTATACCTATAATCAAGTTTACTTTATGAGATTAAAACAATCACTACTAATAAAATAGGACAATTATAACAATAAAATAAGAGTTACTTGAACACAAGCACTGTGGTTCCGTGAGGCCTATCTGAAAACCGAGGCGTCTACTAAGTGACTAACGGGTGGGTGGTATCCGCAGCACGGGGACGGTGGAGAAGGGACGACTCGCCCCGAGGCAGGATGGAGCAGGACAATGTGAGATTTCACTGTGCTGCTCAGAAAGGCACAAAATTTAAAACTTATGAATTGTTTATTTCTGAAATTTTCCACTTAATATTTTCAGATCATGATTCACCATGGGTAAGTGAAAGCAAAACCACAGATGAGGGGGGGCCCACTATAGTTAAAATACACCTAAAATAAGCCCATTATTTAAGCCATAAAAAGCGAATGAGAGTCGTGTTAGTGGTAACAGAAAATGACAACTAATTCTTGTGTTTTTATACAGAAAAAGTACCATTTGTAGTTTGACCTAAATAAACCCATATTTTAGAAACCTAACAGTAACCTGTATTGTTATTTGAATCAAATTATACAATAAATATTCCCGTTTTAAAGTATACGTGATGTTAATGGTGCGTGCAGACAGGACTCCTCGAAGGTTGTAAAAATGGCACATTGTGAAGAGGTGTTTGAGAAACAGATCAATTCATCCATCAGACACTTGCTGAACTGTATGGAGACAGGTACGGCTATGGCTTTCTAAGACTTAATGAGAAGTAGACGGTATGAGCGCCATGGGAGTGAGCAGGAAACCTGACCGCTTCTCCCTGGAAAGGAGACCAGGGCCGAAGACAGCATTCTGGGAAAGGGGAAAGATGAGGGATGGCAGGCTTGGCACCATCCCGGGACTGCAGCTCCTCCCTGTGTTTGACACTTGGCGTGCTCACTGGGCCAGTGCCAGGAAATGAGGATGGGGAGTTGACTCCGTCTAGAAGACCAGGATGAGTGGCCACCAGTGAACACGACCCCTAGTGGGTCAGACTGCACCTCGGGAAGCTGCCCCAGTGGTAAAGTCTACTGAGGACAGAGCTGCGGCAGAATGCCAGCAAGAAGCTGCAGGAGCCCAGGTGAGGGGGAGCCAAGGTGAGGGGGAGGGCTCTAGGTGAGGAGAAGTCTAGGAAGGAATAAGTTTGTTGCCTTATTTTGGTGGCTAATACAAAGTATCGACTTATAACAAAAAGTGGAATAATATATGTAGCTAACGATGTGAAATGATAACATTTATTATAGCTTATTCAAGTGTTGGGATATACTTCAGTCAAAAAAATCTTTAGGACTTTTAGAAACCTAGTGTATAACTGTGCAATTCATTAAACATGCCACGAAAGGCAGGCACTGCATGGGAATGATGGAGCCTCTGTCTGTGGGAGCAGTAAGGGGACCCACTGTGAAAACTGCAGCTCTGTCGGGCTGGGCTGGTCTAGGCACGCACTTCAGGCTTACTGCTTCTGTGACCTGGACAAACTAGACTAAATTTCTGGTCAGTAATAGGAAACCGTGCTGGTATTTAAATACAGAAGTATGAGGATTAAATGAGCAAACATCTATAAATCATCATACTCAGTGATAGATGCTGAGTGTTCATTTAAAAATATTCTGTTATCAAATTTTCTGTAACAAATGTATTATTTTTATACTCAGGAAAAAAGGTGTCTATCCAAAGATATTAAGCTCTCCATTCGGGCATATAGAGGTATAAACACTCACAGTATTCACACATCAGAAAGGAAGACGAGAGCTAAGGAGAGAACTATTTCTCTGCTTCGTATACCCTTACATACGTCCGTATTCTTGTCAGTGAATGGGAGGATAAGGACGAAATAAACGTCAACTTACTGGCTTCCTGAGAAAGAAGATAGACAAAGCTCCCACTAAGGGCATGTCTCCGATCAGCGGTTCCAGGATCACCCGCATTGTACCGTGAATCTAAATTCAAACGGGAAACCAAAACATGTAACAGCAAGCAATTCCACAGGCCATTTACTGATGTAAGAATGAGATGTGTGTTCGCCTGAGCATCTGACCACAGCTTTCTCTACAGATAAACACTTAACTTCAAAGAAATTCTGAGTTAATAAAAACGTCACCATTTTTTTTTTTATGAATAAAGCATAGAGAATTTTAGAAGACTATGAAATTTAAAAAAACTTACCTGTATACTTTGCACACCGGCTCTACAAAAATATCGCTTGATCTCCAAATCAATCTCACAATTTCCTACAAAACTAGCAAAGAAAAAGTTCTGTATTACATTCTCTTAATCACCACAGACCTGGAAAGTGTATAATCTATAATAATAGTAAAGCAACTAAAACCAGGCTGTAGGCAAAGCTGTAAGCTGTGGCCCATGCCAGTGTTGTAGATGTCACGCTGATTTGACACCACCGCCCAACGGTGGGGTCTGCTGCAGACTTAGGTGTAGCTACAAAAGTCACCTCCCGAAGGGCAGTGCTGGAGCAATGTCTTGGTGGAATGTCATTTTCATGTGTTTTACAAACAAATGTGTTTGTTTAAAACACAAAAAAGCTTAGATTATATTTCTCCACGAGGAAATTTTGCGCGCATGCTCCACCGTCCTGAGAAAACTAGCAGAGCCCAGGACTCTGTGATGTCAAAGGTTGGAAACCTTTCAATCACTCCTTCCCCATACCTACTACCAGTAACCACTGTTCTACTTTGTCTCTGAATCTGATCACTCTATAATCTCATATATACAGGACTTGTCCTTTTGTGACAGGTTTATTTCATGTAGTATGATGTCCTCATGGTTCATCCATGTTGTAGCATGTTGCAGGATCTCCTTTTTAAAGGCTGAATACTACTCCACTGAACGTATACGCCACACTTTGCTTATACATTCATCTGTCACTGAACATTTCTTAACTGTTGTGGATGAGGCTGCTATAAACGTGGGTGCGCAGATATCTCTGAGAGCTTACTTTTGGTTCCTGTGGGTAAATACCCAGAAGTGGAACTGCTGGGTCATATGGTAATTCTATGTTTAAGTTTTCCACAGCAGCTGCACCATTTTACGTCCTCATCAACAGTGCACAAGGGCCCCAATTTCTCCACAGCCTCACCAACAGTTTCGTTTTGTTTTTAATAGTAGCCATCTTAATGGGTGTAAGGTGGCATATTATAGTTTTGATTTGCATTTCCCTGATTATTAGCGAGTCAGAGCATCTTTCCATATGCCTATTGTCCATTTGTATATCATCTTTAGAGAAAGGTCTATTCAGGTTCTTTGCCCATTTTTGGAGTCAGGTTATTTTGTCGTTGCTGAGTTGCAGGAGTGCTCTGTATATTCTGAGCCCAATCCCTTATCAGATATGTGGTCACATGCATTTTACTGATGCTACAGAGGACGTTCAGTGCTGACATTTGACATTATTAAGTCTTCCAAACCATGAGCATGGGCTGTCTTCTCATTTATTTACACCTTCTTTAATGTCTCACAGAATGTTTTGTAGTTTTCATTGTATGTCTTTCACCTGCTTGGTTAAGTTAATTCCTAAGTATTTTATTCTTTTTGATTCTATTGTAAATGAAATTGTTTTCTTAACTTCCTTTTTGGGTTGTTCATTGTTAGTGTACAGAATGAAACTGATTTTTGTGTGTGTTGATTTTGTATTGTTACTTTGCTAAATTCATTTATTAGTTCTAAGAGGATTTTTTGTGTGATCCTGACGTCTTCCTACGTAGAGAATATCATGTGTGAACAGAGATAATGTCGCTTCTTCCTTTCCAACCTGGATGCCTTTTATTTTTCTTACCTAATTGCCTCCCAGTACCATGTTGAATAGTGGTAAGAGCGAGTGTTCCTGCCTTGTTCTTGACCTTAGAGGAAAAGCTTTGTGTTTTACCACTAAAGATGATGTCTGCTATTTCTCATACATGTCTTTTTTGTGCTGAAGTAGTTTCCTTCTTCCCTAGTTTGAATGTTATCATGCAACAGAGTTGAATTTTGTCAAACGCTTTTTCGGATACAAACTGAGAAGATCATGTGGTTCCTTCCTGCATACTGTTAATGCCGTGTATCACAGTGATTGATTTTCATATGCTGATCCACCCTGCATCCCAGGAATAAATCCCATGGTGTATGATCCTTTTGATACGTTGCTGAATTCAGTTTGCTAGCTTTTTGTTGAGGATTTTGGCATCAATGATCATAAAGGATATGTGTCTGTAGTTTTCTTGTAGTGCCTTTAGTTTCTTTTATTTAACGAGTTTTATGAATGGCAGTTAACTAGGCTATTAGGAACTGAGACCCAGGCAGTAAACAAATTTGGGTCCTCATCAAGAATTTAGTCAAATTTCACCAAACAGCAGAGAAGACGTGTGCTCATTATATCCGCCACCTGTGAGTATGGCTAGGCGACAGTATACATCACAAACGTGACGCAACACGCACAATAAAAACTCACCTAATCTGAAGATCCAAAATAATCTGCCTTTTGTCCACATTTTCAGTGTACGCCTTAACACCATTGACCCTGAGGGGCTAGAACAGAAGCAGCTTATTTTAAAATGCAGGGACGGGTTAAAAAAAAAAAACAACAGAAAACAAAACGAACCACCAAACCTTGCAATACGGCAGAGAGATGAAAAGAATGAGCTTTAGCATCCAGCTGTAAGCATTAAAGCTCTGCTTTCATGGGGTCCTAGCCATTTCACTCTCGGCAAGCTATCTGACCGTGCTGCTTGGTCTCCTCACCGTAAAATGCAGATAACAATGGTGTCTACCTCACGAGGTTGCTGGGTGACTACAGGGCACAGGGGATGTGAGGAGTGCCATGCGCTGTGCCTAGTGGCACCGGCCCTGCCGCTGTCAGCTCGTGGACTCAGTAGTCACGGGTTTCACTCCTTTCCAAGTCTCGTAGCCCTCGTCTCGTCCAAGTTACTTTCCCTCTACTTTATCCTGCGTTGTTTGAAACATTACCTTCCTTTCATTTTTTATATCTTGTAATTTTTCGTTTCTTAAGATTTTCACAAAAATTGGACTTTTGAGTAAATTGAAAATACTAGCAATAGGCATAATTTCAAAACCTAATACATGATATAAGGTCTGATTCAAATGACTCTGTAAAAGGAAAAAGTAGATTATGATAAGTGTTCTATTTCAAGGGCCAGTTGTAACATCATTTCAAAACTTTTTCCCATTTATCAATTTAAGATCCCTTCCAAGAAAGTTCTCTGCATCGCATCTGAGCATTCAGAACTCAAGCTGAGTCTAACCACTGTGCTGTACACCTGAAACTAATATAAATTAATATAATATTGACTGTGAACTCTAATTGAAAAATTAAAAATTAAAAAAAACTCAAGCCAAAGAAACACCTTACCTCTAGAGTACTACTACCTACGTGGCCAGTTTGGGGGTGCTCTGAGATCCTACCCCTCAGCAAGCTCAGTGAGAGTCTACCTTCCTGACTACTCTAAGTTCCCGAGCTTTCCCCTAATGAGACCAGCTCAGACATGTACAGACTGACCAATCACAAAAACACAATCAAGTCACTGTGCAGACAAGTGAAAATGAACATAGGGCTCAGGACTTTCAGTTTAAATGTTTGCCTTAGATAACGCAACCCTCCTCCATTTAGGGCAGTGGTCCTCAACCAGGGACCGGTGCTCCTATGAGAATCTAATGCCTGATGATCTGAGGCGGAGCTGAGGCGGTGATGCCGGCGCTGGGGAGTGGCTGCAGATGCAGATGAAGCTTCGCTAGCTGGCCTGCTGCTCCCCTCCTGCTGTGTGGCCCAGTTTCTAACAGGCCGCGGACTGGTACCGGGGGTTGGGGCTCTGATTTAGATGACAGGTTAGGAGCAGGGAGGCCAACACCACTCTGGATGACTGAGAGTTATTATCTAAGGAAGAACAAAAACTGCAGGCCCTGAGGGACTCAGCTCAGACATCCGGTCTGGACAAAGGACCCAGCTCGGGTCTCTGCGCGCCCTTCTCGTCTGCCTTCCTCAGACAGCCGGGTTCACCTGCACTTGTCAGAGCTCGGCGCGGTAGGTAACGGTGCCCCCTGTATTGAATCGGCACTTCTCTTATATTGTTACTGTCCTCCAACGGGGACCTCGTTTAGTTACAGCACGAGTAACAGAACATGAACCTAACCTTCCTCGAACAGGTCTGGCTGGAGTAAGAATTCTAACCACAAACACGAGCATATCTCACGTTGGGGTACAGCAAACTACAGCCTGCAGGCTAACGCTGGTCTTTGGCCAAGAATGATTTTTACATTTTTAAGGGTTGTAAAAGAAGGGGGTAGGTAGGAGAAGACTATGCCTCAAAGGCTTTATGTGGCTGTCAAAAATGGAAATATTTACTGTACTGAGCCCTGCTTCTTATTCACATAACATTCCCACCATCTGTCACCATCTTAGTTACAGAGGTAAAGTACCCAGTAACGGTAACTGTCACGTGGGTCTCCTGTGCAGGCACCTGTGTGCTCCAACAACAGCACGATCACACCCCAGCTCATGTTTGGAGGCCTCAGGGCCAAGAGGAAATGGCCGGCACAGCGTGCCTGCCTGCACCTGAGTGCCAGATTCCGACTGCAGGGAAGGCGGCGCATTCTCTGCACAGGAAAAACCTCCTTTCAGGGGAAAAAGCGACCTTGGGAGTGTAGGAAGGGAACACACGTGGGGCAGGGACACTGACCTGCCCTGACAAACACAACACAGCAACCAGGTCAGACACACCTCAGCCATGCTTAAAGCCCTAGCGGGCTGAAGCAAAGATGTCTGAACCACGATGCGTGGGGACGGTGTGTTGCCTGCTCCGCCGGACGTGCACTAAATGTGTGTAAACTCTGTGGGGGCTGTTTTGAAAGTGCCATTGGATTCTGAGTATTTATCAGGTACAGAAAACAATGTTATCTTGGAAACTAACATGATGTTATACATCAATTACATCTCAATAAAAAGCTATCTTAAACTGTTGCTAATTATTGTAAACAGTGATTTTAAAAATAAATAAGAAAGGGAATTTGCCATGATTAACTAATTTAGATGCAGTCCTGAGACTTGCACTCAGTAACATTAGGGGTCAGCAGCTTCCCGCTGTACACACAGACAGACCGCAGAGCCACTGCAATAAAGCGAACGTCTCAACAGAGCGAGGCACGCGAGTGTTCTGGTTTCCCGGTGCATGTAATAGCTATGTGTACACTATACTGTAGTCTGGTAAATGTGCAATAGCATAAGTCTAAAAAGCAATGTACATACTCTTAATGTAAAATAGTTTTTACTAAAGAAATGCTAACCATCATCTATGCCCACTGGAAAAATGGTGCCAACGCACTGGCGTGATGCAGCATTGCCAAAAACCTTCAATTTGTAAAAAAACAAAAAACAAAAAACACTAACTGTGAAGTGCAATAAAATGAGGTATGCCTATAATATAATTCCAGTAACAAAACCCACCTTTCCTTTCACCCACATACTTAACGAAGGCGATGCCTACAAGACTGGCACCCTAGTCCTCAGCGGTTGTATCAAACATCTTTGTCAACTACTGAAACATTAGTATGAATTCATGCATCAAACTCCCTTTCCAGCCGACAGATTGCTAAAAACTGTACAAAAGTAATTCTGGCAGAGGGTGTGGGGTAGAAAGACACACTGGGACTGAGGGAAACCCCCAGGGAGCCTGGACTGGCCAAAGATCACAGTGAACAGGGGAGGTGGGCGAAGACCCCGACAGACCAAGTGCCCACGTGAGAGCCCGAGAGGGACCGCAGAGACCCCCACAACCTTCCCCGGGAGCAGTGGTCTCTAGAAAACAATTTCAAGTAGTCTAACATTTTTTTAAGCTTTCATAGCAATCCCCCTGTGTGCACAATGTGGGTACGTAAGAAACTGACCTGCTGACCCATGTCGACTTTCGTGAAACTAAAGGTGCTAAGGTGGGTGTTTGCTCCCCGCACCGCTGGCTCTATGGTTTCTCGAAACAACTTCTCTATAAATTGGCAAATAAAAGGCCACATGTGTTTTACAGTCTGGAAAGGAGAGAGAACTCATGTTAAACAAAATGTCAAAATACACAATGTACTTAAATCACGATGAAAAATTACGCCCCTATAGTTTACCTGAATTTTTGAAAATTAAAGGGGGTCCTTTTTGTTACGTGAAATCAACTTAATTTTAAGTTTTAAAATGCATTACACAATAAACTACTGATTAACCAATATGTTGTAGGAATTCGTTACTCTGGTTAAATTCTATTTAAGCATATCTACATTTAATGATTGCTAAAAAAAATAAATCAGAAAATCCTGTAGTTTCGACTTACTGTTAAAAACCTAAAACTGAGATCCTGGTAACAATGAGTTTCCTTTAACGATGGACTCACTTCCAGTGCTGTCGGGTGATCATTACCGACACGAGCTTTCATTCCACAGCCTGAAGGACATGTGGATACGGAGATAAAAGGGATCTACCTCAAAGTGTGCTGATCCAAACACATAACCTTTGAAAAACGGATGATTATTACCTATTACTAGGTTTCTTGGCAGTTATTTCCCTCTTCATAATAATGTTTCCACAATCTTTGCTCACGATTATTACACAACAGATGTGAGCAGTAGCCAATCAGAAAAAAAAGACAGAAGTCCGAGATACAACTACGAATGCCTCATTAATTTTCTCATGTCAGAGACATGGTTTTCACTGTTTAGAAAAGAAAGTAAAATCATTTATGACTGAGTTCTTTTGGTAGCAGAAGCCAAATGAATTTACACAGTGTCAACATCCAAACCTCCAAATATGGAAAGATGGCATCTCATCCCAATTCCCGCTGATATCTGGTATTCAGTATACCATACTCTTACCTTATTTAGCCATTCTGCTCTTTCAGTGTCTGGAAAATGAACCTAGGAGAAAAACACACACACGTGACTTACTGACTCCCGTCACGCAGGCCATCTGGTGTTCTCACTGTAGGTCTACTATTTATATAATATAAGGCTGGAGGACGGCCTCTGAGGGAAACTGAACTGTGTGGCACCCTGGCTTTACATGCTAGAAACACTCTGAAGCAGAGAAGTCAGCAAGTGCCACAGGCCCTTCTACATCCCCACTGTCCAGAGGAATGCTCCCTGCTATCTGCAGGATCATGAAAAGCACTCCAAATGGACCTGGTCCTTTTTGGAAGAATCGCTCCTCCACCTATCACCAGCGCAGTCGTCACGTGTTCCAGGTATCCAGACGCAAAGCCTTCAAACCCCACCTTTCCTTCTGCGTTCCTCTTCAGCCAGACAGCCGGCAGACACGTTTCCACACCTGGCCCCTCTCCACACGCCACCCCCATCCCCGCCAAATGAGAGCCGTACTGGAGCGCTCCACGAGTACGGTCTGTATACTGAAGGAAATAAGTGTCTGCAGATGTAGAAAGAAACCTGTTTAGTGAAAAGGTGAAGCAGAACTTTCTTTGCTGTTGAAACACAGCCCCCTTGCCGAGGAAGGCCGAAGCCACCGTGGGTAGGACGTTTGCCTCTGAGAAACGCTACGTACCCCTTCGTCTCTCAAAAAAGAGCACACTGGCCACGACGACATTCTGAAATCACCATACCTCCACTTCAGACCCGTGGTGGATCACAGGCAGTCTCACTGGTGACTGAGCCGTGCTAAGTGTTCTGATTTTTGGAACTGCCACACTTCCCTGAGTAACACGCAGACACAGCCAGTGAAAGACAAGCTCCCTGTCCCATTCTTTGGCTGAGAGGTGCTGGTCTGGGAATATCACCATGGGGGCGGGAGGGTGGTCCCCAAGAAGACGGTTCTTTGAGAAGCAACTCTACCTCTCTAAGCTTGGTCCCTAAAATAAATCATGGATTGGGGCCTGGCAGGAGCCAGCTCCTGGTCAGAGAGAGGCCACCATCATCACGTCCATTACAGCCACACAGCTCCGCAGGAGAGGCCACGGCAGGCGCCATCTGTTTCCCGTGGGCCGGTGCCTGAGCAGCCCGCACCGTTACACCGCGCAGGTAGAGCCTTTCATTTGCCTGAACCATGAGGGTGGGCTAGAGCGAATGGAAACGTTTTCCTAAATAAAGCTGGCTTGAATCCATTCTGGGACAAAACCAAAGGGACGGCGACTTTCGGACTTCAGGGAAAGATGGCGCTCAGAGAGGCAGATCTGGGGAGAGAACTGCTGGCCAAGGCGGCTTCAGCCCCGAGGGGCCGCCGCCGTCAAGGCTCACTGTGACCTCAGTGGACCTGAGGGGCCGCGCGTCCCCCAGGAGCAGCAGCCGATCCAGGCTGGGTGGGGAGAGCTGAGGGCTGGCTAAACTCGCAGACCAGGTCGCGAGGGGACGTGTGTGCAATTCATCTGCCACTTCTTCACCCTGTAGTAAAGGGGTTCAACGCTCTACAAGTCAGATCAGGACTGTGACAGGGTGCCACTCAAAGGCACGTCAGCCTTAGAGAGGGTGTTAACCTGGTCCCCTGTAGCAATTTAATGTGAGCCTGTCTCTCCTGCCCCCACCCCTCTGAATCCAACCAGCCACTGGTGGTGACAGGAAGGACCGAAGGTGGACAAAGAACACCTTCTACTTGGGGACAGCCGGGACTTCTTCACTGTGGATTGTTCTTCCTCTCATAATTTCAGAGTAAACAAGAGCCAATGACTCTGCAGGCTTCTGCCTGAACATCTGGTGATGCTGTGGCCGTCGACACAACACCTGCTTCCCAGCGACACCAAGTCCGGCTACCAGAACGCGGAGCCGCCCATCAGTGGCCTCCTCAAGACCACAAACTCCTGTGTGGTTCGGCTTCTTCAGCGCAACCTTCAAGGGCCCAGCTCAAGCCCCGGCTCCTCTACACAGGACTGACCCTTCTGTGGTGACCCCTCACCATGTTTGCCTCCCCTCCACAGTCCTTCCTCACAGTCACCTCACTTGGTCCTGGACGGCCCCTCAGACACACTACCGGCCGTAGCCGCCCTCCCAACAGCACCTCCCTCTCAGGGTCTCTGTGCATCTGCAGGTGTCACACCATCGCCGTGACGCTCCTCGACCGCAGTGACTCCCTCACCCAGCGGACGACACGCTTGCAGAAAAAAAGAACTGTCTCAGAACCGACAGGGTGCCCACGCCCAGTCTAACGCCAGTCCTCAATCTCTGTAGGTACTGCGCTTCTTATTGAAGTCCATGTTTGTGACTGTTTTCAATTGCTCATTTAGAATATTACTCTAGTGTTAAATTCTTTGGGCTTTAATGTAAAATGTTATCTGAAGTGTCAAATCTCTGTACAGTGTTGGAATTAAAATGCTGTACCACGCCACACTGAGTAAACAATTACCCACATCAAGAAAACATTTAAGGCCCCCTTGGCTAACAGACACGGGGAGAACGGGCGACACTCGGATGTCAATGAGAGGAGCCGGAAAAGGCGGTCCATGATATCAGTTCTAGAGAACTTAAATTGCTACTCTGCCTCGTAAATGAATGTCAAGTGCCCTTTGATAAAAATTACAGCAAGAAGAGTTTAATCTGCCACTTAAGCTTCCTTTTAGCTGTTTTCAGATCCTTTCTTCTTCTAAAATACGATGAGGTGACAGGATAAGTTCATTTTTCCCTGATCCCCAGTAAGCAAACAAAGCACCACGTGTGAAAACAACAACTTTGCGTGTCGTACTCAGTCTGTGACCCTCAGTCGCCAGTCAGAGCGGACATCAGAGCGTACCCCCCTGGGGGCACAGCGGCTCTTGGGGCTGTCCCGACACCTCTGCAGGTGGACAGCCCCGGCCCTCGGTAACCACCGGCCAGCAGAGCCACAGGTCCTGTCACGCAGGCTGTACCTGCTTCCAGGGAGCAGGGGTAAGTGGCCGGTGCCCTTCTGTCACCGGTGGGGGTGGCCTACTGACCCTCCCCACCTCAGAGCACCTGCCTCTCTGCTGTTCGAGTGCAGAAGCGTTCCCTTCCTCTATGAGACGGAAATGTGATTATCGTGGTTTTCATTTTTTTTTTTAAACAGATTTCCTGGTTTCTTTGGAGAACAGAATTCTTGCTAAGTTCTGAGAGCCCATAACGAGATACCCTAAGAACTGTGCCTCACACAGAGAAAGCTTAGACCTATCCAGATTCTCCGCCCACTTCAAATCTCAAGAAGGCTGGAAGGCTGCGGAATAATTTACGAAATCTATTGTAAAGTGAAAATACAAGATGGAGAAAAGCATGAACAACTGGCTCCCATTCATGTCAGAAGAGGTGAGGACAGAAGTGTGTGCGTGTATAATACATGCTTAAAAACATTTTTAAATAAAAGATTAACAAAAGCTTTTTAAAAAACTTTACTTTGGGGAGGGAGAGAACAGGGTGGCAGAGACAAGTATATGAGTTAGGGAAAATGGAATCGAATCGACCCTCACCTCGCATTAAACTTCCTCCCACAGCACCACCAAGGGTTTGCAAAATGCGCTTCCTTCCGGGGCCACACGATCGGCTCTGTGACGACGTGAACAGACAGGGCAGGTGTACCCCAGTTTACTTACGAGGGAATGAAAACTTAAATGAAGTGGTTTGCCTGGAGCTGTACAGCCAGAGTCAGACACATGCTTCCTGCCTCCACGTCCAACTCTGAACATCACACGGCCGTTTCAGTGGTCTTTGTGCGCCCAGCATCAGGGAATTCCCACGCATACCAAATGCGTGACTTAACCCACCGACTGGGCCAGTAACGACGAGTTTCTGTATATTCCAATCAGTCCATAGTACCAAATTCATATCTGCAAATGCCATCAAGTGAACTTCTATTGTCTATTAAAGTCTTCGTAAGTTATAAGAAGTAACTATTTGTTAACATATTACCAAGTTTTCCAATCAATAAAAAATTGATTAATAGACTACTGGTCTCAAAAATACAGTATACATATGTATAAGTACTTTTATAAGTTATACACATTTTTAAATGCACAGAAAAGTTTGCAAAAATATATATCGAACTACTGTAACAAGGAGAATGAGGCTTTACTTTTCCTTTATTTCTGTATATTTGAATTTCTCTAAGAGACATAAACTACTTTTCTAATCACTACTGTAATTTAAGGTTAAAATTAAGAATTTTCTAACACAAAAGTACTATTTTTACATAACAAATGACTCAAATTATGTAAAAATAGAATTTTTATAAATTAAGCTATATTTGAATTAGAGAGAAAGATACTAAGAAACAAAACTCTTACAACATAAGTAATCTGCTCTGAATTTGACTTGAAAAAAAATTTTTGATACATCATTTTAAATGCAAAGCATAACTCTTGAGTCAAACACTGTATCAACTAAATATGATGATCCCTAAAAAAATGGCCCAAAATGAAAACACCTGCCTTCACTAACACTATTTGATTTCTCTGAGTTCACTGACTACCCTCACATCGGTCTGCCAGTGCGAGCAAAGCCCCATTCGTCTTGGCATACCGAAAGCCAGGGTAACCCATAAAGCTATAGTTTCTCTCCCGCAAAACACACACCAGTCCCACGAACCACCTACGGAATTTACACTTATGTAACAGCAGAGCTTCTCCACTCACCGTCATGCACCAGTACAGAAACAGTTTGACTGGTGTGAACTCGGATTTCGTCACTGCATTTTCGTCACTGTGCTAGTCCTTAATCTATTATGGCACGTGCGTAATTCGTTCTTCATGAAGGACAGGCTGAAGAGCATTTATCGAGCAGTTACTTGGGTCCGGCTCTGCCCAGAGCCAGGGATACGATGCAGAATCAGACAGGCTCAGGTCCTCGGGAAGCTTGCAGCTGGTGGCGTGGACTGGCGTGGAGAGGTATGACCACCAGCCTGGGAGGGAAGAACCATGGCAGCAAGGGGAGGGCCTGACGCTGCCTGGAAGAGTCCATAAAAGATTCGGGAAGAACACGGCACGTGAGATGGGTGTGAAAGAATGAGCTGGGGCTGGTGTGCAAAGAAGAGAGAACAGTCAAAGCAAAAATAAAGGCGCACGCGACTCACTCTGCTGCATTAGCGGATGGGAAGAATGGAAGAGCCGAAGATAAAAAATCAGTGCTTACTTCAGAGTGCCAAAGAAAAAGAGTATTACCAAAATTGAAGAAAGGAAATCTGCTAACAAAATTTTAATTCTGTTCATTAAGTTGAAAATCTGCTTTTCACTAATACATATTCATAAACATCTGCTCATGTTCCACAAAATAGAATTTAAAATAGCAAAAACATCACAGAGAAAGATTGGGATCTGCAGGGGAAACAGAAAACATGTTTCTGAATCATACAGAGATGCATGAACACATATCATTTGGCTTTAAATCTTATCTTTCAACAACAACAATCCACTAATATCTTTTATAAGTCCAATTATAAAACAAGTTTTCATACTTCTTATATTATCTCTACACACCAGAAATAATCATTGTGTGATTACTCTAATTTTGATTACGGAGTTAACACTACCCACGAAATCTTTTTTATCTTATTTTTTAGAAGAACAAAGGCATACTTTGGATTCTAATATGATGTTGATATTACTAAAGTTGTCCTGTTTAGAAAAAAATTAAACTAAATATACAAAGACAGAACATTAACTGTATGCCAGGAACTCTACATACAGTATCTTGTTTAAACCTCACAATGGCCCTTTGAACAAGTGATGGCTCCATCTAAAAGATAACTGGCCTAATTTGTCCAGTTACAGGGGAAATAAGTGGACCGGACCCAGAGGGCTCTACAGTCCACCCTGTCGTGGTTTGAAGTCTAAAGGATGGAACAAACATGTACAGAACTAAAATTTTCTAAATTAAATTATATTTCCCCATTTCTGAACATTAAAAAAATATATGGAATAACATTTAAAACCGAGATTAAATAAAAGAACTGTCTTCAAACAGCACTGCCCTGAAGACGCTGCTGGCCGCTCTGTGCGGAGGCCTTTACTGTCTAGCTGAGTGCCGGCAACGCCACAGAGGTACGGGGCCCGTCACAGTGGGCGTGGGGTGCCCGTTTAAAACCCCATCAGCATCAGCAGCACTGAAACGTGTGGTGTACATTAATGCTGTCGCCTCATCCCTTCACCAAAAAGACCTAGAATAAGGTCATTGATGTCTGGAAAATATGAAGATACATATCTATTTACCTGAAGCATTAATGATTTAATATATCTTTAAGTAAAATTCAAAAGATAAATGGATAAAATGTCTTTAAATAAAATTCAAAAGATAAATGGATAACATTATCATTTGATACTAAACTCATTAAACCTCAAATAGTTAACTGGTCAATCAAGTTCATTCAGTCATATTCTTCCTCATTCCAAGAAGGGTTTCAGCTTTGCTCATTTCTGCATAGTCCTTTAGGCACTTATCTCAGAAAAACAACAAAAATTTTTTTTAATAAATGCCAAATTCTTACTTGGAGTAATGATTGGTTCCAGTGGAAGAATTCTTTCACTATCTTGGGGAAAAGGAAGGCGTTCGCGTCATCTGGTCCCACAGTGCCCTGAGCCTGGGACACGTTCTCGACCAGCACAGCCTGCCTGTCAGCAGGGCCTGAGGTCCCAGGGGCTCCATCTGCCCAGCCGCCCAGCCACCCAGCACACCTGAGTGTCACTCACTCATCAGTCCAAAAACACCAACCTTCCTGTACCACGAAATGAGTTTTATGTAAATCTACAAATTAAAAAGACCTAAGCAGAAGTTTTGTTTCCCTGTCTAAAATTAACACGTACCCAAAAACGAGGAGTAGATGAGGCAGGACTAGGACAACAGAACCACAGGTTCTGAGAATACAGGAGATGCCTGGGCTTTGCTGTATCACAAGAAAAACTTCTGGGAAACTTTCAGCAAACACCATATACTGTGTCTTGAAGTAAGACCCAATCTGACCTACAAACATACGAAAAGATGCTCAACATCGCTAGCTATTAGGGAAATGCAAATCAAAACCACGATGAGATACCACCTCACACCTGTTAGAATGGCTATAATCAACAGTACAAGTCATAACAAATGTTGGAGAGGATGCAGAGAAAAAAGAACCCTCGTACACTGCTGGTGGGACTGCAAATTGGTACAGCCACTCTGGAAAACAGTATGGAGGTTCCTCAAGAAACTATGATCCAGCAATCCCATTACTGGGTTCTTAACTCAAAGACTTGAAAACCCATATCCCAAAAGATATCTGCACACCGATGTTCATAGCAGCATTATTCACAGTGGCCAGGACACAGAAGCAACCGAAATGTCCTACGATAGATGACTGGCTAAACTGTGGCACATATATACAATGGAATATTACTCAGCTGTAAGAAGAGATGAAATACTGCCCTTTGCAACAACATGGATGGACCTCGAGATAATCATGCTAAGCGAAATAAGCCAGGGAATCTGAAGCAACACTAATAACCCTGCAGTCCTTATCTGAGACCACAGGTAGTGACCACAATCACTCCTTTATGTGCTAACACAAACCTACCTGTTAGGATAAACTTGTCGTTTTCTTCCATCATCTCAAACTCTAACCGTTCAAAATAATAACTGTCTGCTGACAAAAGCAAAGACAGCTGCAATCACTTTGGAAAGCCACAGCTTGGGCCAAACATCAGCTCCATGGACCCAAGGCTCTTCCTGGCTCAGGCTGGCAGAGGTGGCAGAGAAGGGAAGTATTTACAAACCACTTCCCACAAGTGTTTGCATAAAGCATGCTTATCTTCAGTAATTCACTACTATTTCATTGTTATATGAATGACCACTACCTACTTTTGTAAATCGGGAAGCAGTAAAACAAAAAACTTAAAGCTAGGTTTATTTATCCCAGCATACCTTCTATAACTGACAAAGCTGTCTAAACTATTTAACAACCAATTCTTATTTCCAATTCACTAAAACAATGCACACATTAAAGGACTTTTACTCTGAGGCCTTCTGTAATTTCACATAACATATCCGCTATGTCACATACACCCCTCAGTCATCCCTTTAATTTTGAAGGGTGGCTCAGGCTTCAGTGCATGGAACAATAAGAGAGTTTAAGCCAGGACTGACATCCAACGGCAGAGTAAAAACACGAACACATCACAGAGAGAACAAGTAGATAACCCTTCATCGAAACACTAATTTCAAGAGATTTATTCAACACCTTACACATAGGTGCATGTCTATGGATATTTTTCAAAGACTTGAAGCATATTTTTAAAAATTCTGAAGTCATTTAGACATACTTTATATAACTACTAAAAGAAAGGTCATGCAAGTATATTATTTGACAATCTTGATTTAATGTTGAGGTTCTGGCATGAGCTACATCACTCTCACAAATTAAAATGAGGCCAAGAATAGGAAACACGTCTTCTCATCTCCTTCACTAAAATACGTAAGAAGACCTGGTTATCTTAAATTCAAATCAAAAGCCACTATTCAAACACATGTGCTTATGTTTTAACTGGAACGAACCAGAAGACAGGTATGTAATTGCAGCATGGAATTAATTACACACATTCTGTACACTACGTGAAATCAATCCAGCTTTGTTCCAATATAAAAAAAAGAAAGAAAGAAAACAGAAACTATATAAGACTGTGAATTCAGGGTTAAAAGCCCTTAGAATTACAGAACTGACAACACCATCAAAAATCTACATGGATTCAGAAGTCAAGTCATGTTTGAAATTTTACTGGGAATTTTTCATTTTCAAGAAATAGTTTTATAGGATTTTTCCAAGAGCTTAATTTTATTCCTCTCACACAGTAAACAGCTCAAGAGTTAGGAGAATTAAGTCAGAGAAATTTACCAACTTAAAATCTACGTGTTTTCTCCTTTTATTCCTTTATTTGTATACAATGAAGAACAGCAAATAACACTTGAAAACATTGGGACTTTTCCATAACGTAATCGTTTATCTTTACTAAATTCTGAGACCAAGATTGTGGTACTTCCTCCTTTATGCTTGTTTGTCATTCACTAACTGTGATCATACAATAATACATCACAGCTAGGAGGCAGGCATGGCATCTTACACAACTATAGTGCAACATTACAGCCAGGAGATCAACATCTATCTATCTCCCTCCCTCCCTCTCTTCTTGCCACCCACCCGCCCACCTGCCCTCCTATTATCTCTCACCTTCCATCATCTATCATCTTTATCATCTATTTATCACGCAAGTGCTCAAAGTCAGGAAGACCTCTACTGTCTGACTCATGCACATGGCATGTCCAGAACAGGGAAGTCCGTAGACAGAAAGTGGATCAGCGGTTGCCTGGGCTGTCCTGAAGCACGAAGGGAATGGGAGTGAGTGCTGGTGGGTATGCAGTCCTTCATGGAGGACAAAAATGTTCTAAAGCTAGATTCTGGTGATGGTTACACAGACCTATGAATATCCTGAAAAACAATGACTTGTACATTCTAGATGGCTGAATTGCACAGTATGTGAATTACAACTCAGTACAGACATTAAAAAATAAACGGGAAATAAATATGCTGGTCCCTAAAGCACATACTGTGTTAATGTACTTCATTTATTTTAATCGGACATTTCCCAAAATAAGAATGGAACCAAACAAGTAACTCCAGAGGCCTAGGGGTGAA